TTCTAGGGTTTACAAGTAAAGCACGAAATAGACAGTGATAAAGGTTGTGTGTGTTGAGAGAATTAAATGACATTAAAGAGACTTAAACACAAAAGTATTTAAAATAAACTCATTCCCTTCAAATTCAAAACACAAATAATTTCAAGCGCGCTGGAGACATTTCAGACAGGTGTAAAAAGTGGTACAGGTGTCAAAAGGATTTTCCACTTTTGTGTTTGTGAGAAGCATGGATTTCTTTATGCAAGTTTCAGAAATAGATAGTTTTTAGAGATTATCTTTGATAAAAAAATTTGTTATCCAAAGTTTGATTGAGACATCATCTGACTAATATCTAATTCAGATTCTTCATTCAAAATTAAGCATAAATTATTATGTTAAGAATTCTTTATTAACTATCTCAATTGTCAATTTAATGAAGAACATAACATATACTAATTTCTTCTGAACATTAGTAAGAAAGCTTTCTTCAAAAATGTTTTAAAATATTTCTTTGTTTCAACATGACACAAATATTATCACAAACAGTGAAAATACCAATTTCACAAGTCTGAAAGTTCTTTAGCTAACATCCTCCAAAGTAACGGAGTGTATAAATCATTCACATCAATAAACTTTGTTCAAAATATTATACTTGAAAATAATAAACAATAGAACTTACCTGGATTGATTTTCTAATTCTAAATCTCCAGCTTATTTTGATGAAGTTTTTCTGACTTGTTCTGAAGCCACCATGTTGAACTATCTTCTCACAAGGATAACACCAAGGATAGAGAGACGAGTTGCTTCAATAGATTTCTTCATCTTGGACATCCTTTTTCATACAAATATGAAAACATATTTTCCTCATTGGATCTTTGTCTGCACCACTGTTAAGTGTTATGCACAAACCAAACTCTAATTCCAAGGGAAGCTGAGAAAAATACACAAGAATGGGGGGTTGAATTGCGTTCTCTGAATTCTATGCTTTTGAAGAGAGTTAAGATTCTAAACAATGGTTCAGAATCTGACTACTAGGTGCAATGGAATAATCATAAGAAGAAAATAAGTCACAGCAGAACACACAAAGATTTATCCTGGTTCCTCTCCAACTGAGAGTAGTCCAGTCCCCTTGCAACACAAGAGATTTTTCAATATAATCAAAACATGATTACAACTGCTTATACACTTAAGTATAAGACTTTTCTGCTCAGACCCTCAGTCCGAGACTTTCTTGCTTAATCAGCACCTGATCAATATTTCCTGCTTAGATCCTCAGATCCTAAGACTTTCCTGCTTAAACTCCTCATGTTCAAGAATTCCTTGCTTAGACATCCAGTCTAAGACTTCCTGCTTAAACCCCTCGGATTCAAGACTTCTGCTGAGACCCTCGGTCCAAGACTTTCCTGCTCATATTCCATGAATCTAAGACTTCTGCTTAGATTTGGAGTCCAAGACTTCCTGTTTAAATCCCAAGGATTCAAGACTTCCTTGCTCAAGCCCTCTAGGCTCAAGACTTTTGCTTAGACCCACGGTCCAAAACTTTCTTTGGATATGGGAGTTGAGTAGGGTGGTCTTTTAGCGGAGGAGATTTTAAGACATAGGGATCTCTCGTATATGTAGGTCATGCTTCGGATTAGAGATGCCCAAGATTTTCAGAGATCCAGAGTTAAGTGGCTTCAAAAGGGTGATGCTAACACTAGTTTCGTCCATGCTTGTGTTAAAAGCAGAACTATGAGGAATTCAATTTTAGCCCTTAAGGTTGGTGATGCTTTGGTGGAGGGGTGTCGAAGATTCGTCAGGATGTAGTTAATTATCTTTCCAGTCATTTCAAAGAACCTCTTCATGATTGACCTAGGTTGGATGGGGTCTTTTTCCCAACTATCTCGGAGGAGGATTGTGTTAATCTTACTGCTCCTTTTCATCTTTTAGAGATTGATCGGGTTATTGCTTTATATGATGGAAATAAGAGTCCTGGTCATGATGAGTTCTATTTCTCCTTTATTTAAGAGGTTCTGACATCTTCTAATAGATAAAATTGGAACTATGTTTGATCAATTCTATCACTTCTCTTCGCTTCCTCATTTGATCCCTAAGGTCGATTCTCCCTCTCAATTAGGAGATTTTTGGCCTATTTCTTTTGTAGGCTCACTTTATAAGTTTTAAGCTAAAGTTTTGGTGGGAAGGCTTTTTGGTGTTATGGATAAGCTTATCTCCCCTAACCAGTCAACCTTCCTTAAAGGTAGGCTTCTAGTGCATGGGATTGTTGTTGTGAATGAGTTGGTGGACCTTGCAAAAAAGAGTAAAAAGTCTTATTTCATTTTTAAAGTGGACTTTAAGAAACCATATGATTCAGTTAGTTGGTCCTTTCTAGATTATATGCTCTCTCGTTTTGGGTTTAATGATAAGTGGGGAGGTTGGATTCGTGCTTGTGTTTTCCCTAGTAATCTTACGGTCTTAGTTAATGGTAGACCGACCCAAGAAATTAGCATCTAAATGGGGTTTAAGCAAGGTGATCCCCTGGATTATTTTATTTTTCTCTTGGTAGATGAAGGTCTTAGTGGGCAATTCTCCAGGTTTGTAGACTGGGAGCTTTTAACTGGTCTTTGAGTGGGCTCCTCGGCCTGTGTGGTCTCCCATCTTCAGTATGCAGATGGCACAAATATTTTGGAAGATGCCTCCATTGAGAACCTCTGGTCTATCAAGACTATTCTCTGTGTGTTTGAGCTAGCCTCAAGCACTCGAATGAATTTTTCCAAGAGTAATGTCATTGGCGTGAACTCGGACCCTACTTTTCTTAACCTAGCTTTTGATTTTATTCATTGTCAATAAGGGTCTCTCACATTTAAGTATTTTGGTCTTCCGATGGGGGCTAATCCTTATTTTTATTCTACGTAGGAACGCTTAGTTATCCTCATCACTAGGCAGCTTCACTCATGGAAGCATATGTATGTGTCCCTGGGAGGACGTATGGTTCTTCCTAACTCTATTTTTAATGCAATCGCTATCTTCTTTCTATCTTTTTTTAAGATGTATGTTAAGGTTTGGAAGAAGATTGTGAAAATTCAGAGGTGGTTTCTATAGGGTGGTGTCAAAGGAAGGTCTAAGATTGCCTGGGTTAGGTGGTCTGATGTTTGTAAGCCCAAAAAATTTGGAAGGCTTCGTGTCTGGGACCTTTGATTGGTCAACTTGGCTCTGTTAGGAAAATGGAGATGATGGTTGCTCTTTGGAGATTCAGGGGTCTGGAGAGATATTATTTTGACTTTGTATGTGCTTGGAGGTAGAGATGTTTGCCTTCGCTCTATTTCTCCCTGGTGGATATGGGTTTCCCTTCTTGGTGCCAAAGGGGAGGATTCGTCAGACTGGTTCTATGATAGTATGGTTAAGAAAGTTGGCTCGTGTCTTCTCACTAAGTTCTGGAAAGACCATTGGGTTGGGGATATTCCCCTTATAGCTAGGTTCCCTCAGCATTTTTCTATCTCTGATCAGAAGGATTGTTGTGTGGGAGAGGTTTTTAAGTGGGAGGGGCAGACTTGGGTTTGGGATCTTAGGTGGAGAAGATTTCGCATTTTTTAGCACGAGCGGGTTTTGATCTTTGAGCTCCTTTTAGTAGTTATGGATTTTATCCCTTCCACACAGGTCGATAAGTGTCGGTGGAGCCGTTCTAAAGATGGTTCTTATTATGTGGCTTCTACTTACTCTTTTCTTCTGTCTCATGAGTTTCCTGCCGACCATCAGGTATCGGTGGTGGAGTTAACTCTCACAAGTATTTGGAGTAGCTAAGCCCTCTAAAGTGGTTGTTTTCTCTTGGTAACTCCTGCAAGATGGGATTCCTATCCGAGAAAATTTACTGAAGAGGAGAATCATCATTGGTTTTGAGGGTATTTCTTGTCCTTTTTGTTCGAGGTTCCTTGAATCGTGGTCCCACCTTTTTGTTACTTGTGAGGTAGTGGGATCTGTCTGGTATAAGATTTTTAATTGGTTTGGAAGGTCTTTAGTCCTACCTAGGGATTTTTTTTACCCTTTTTCATTTGTTCTTTCATATTGATTATCTTTCTAGGCTTATAGGGGATGGCTTATAATTTGCCATGGAGTAATCTGGTCAATTTGAAAAGTTGGGAATGATATAGTGTTCTCAAAGAAATCAGTGACATCGAAGGACGTGGAAAATATGAGCATTCTTTTAACTTAGAAATGATATATTGGTAAGTCTGTAGAAAACTTCTGTGTTTTCTCTGGCTGACTCGAGAACTCTACGTGGCATGAGTCAATAGCAATCTGAGTGTCTTCGACCTCCTTTGAGTGTATTTTTGATGTTACGAAATTTCCGTGAAGATTAGTGCCCTTTTATTGAAATTTTTGACCAGGGAGATCTATCTTGTGATTTTTTTCAGGTTCTCTAGGTCATATTCCTTCCTTTAGCTCCAGCTTTTGTTTTATTTACTCATTTTAATTATCTCTGTTGTGATAGGCTTTTTCTTTCTTTCTTTTTTTAGTTTCTCTTTTTTTGGGGTTTTTTTTTTTTTTGCTTTCTTATATGTAGGCTCGTTATTTCAACACTAGTGCTAATTTTTGGTGTTTTGTTGTACTTTTAGACCTTTAGGGTCTCCTTATTTATATATAGTTTTATTTGCTTTTTAAAAAAATGTGTAAATACCAAAAGAAATTGATATAACAATAAATTTGTATCTACAATATTGTTACTTTCTCAAAATACAATTTTCAGTAGAAAATAATAAAGGACAGAACAAACATGATTAAACAATCCAATTTGCAGGAATGTCTAGCCGAGAAAGAGATGCTGCCATCCATTTAATCATCATTCAGCTCAATTTTTCCCAACTCCAATCCGCAGCAGTTTCTCTAAGATTCACCCCATGAGATTAGATGCTTGTCAGTTTTTCTTTGGGTTTGCATGCTTGAGTATTTGCTGAACTGTTATCAAGCCACCCAAACAAGTGTTTTAAAAATGTACATTTGAAAACATGTAGTCAGAAAAGACCTAAATGGAATATTCAGATAACTCATGGTAAACTCTGGTTAGTAAGTCCCATAGATTCTGCAACTTCTCTATCAGCCATACTGTCTGCCTGAACCTACAACGTAGAAGATCAAAATATACCTAGAGTCAACAAAATTTGCTCCATGTAAAAAAAATTGTCATATACTGCTATTATTCAATCGTCTTTACCTGAAGCCGATGCATGAGATACATCAAGAAGAGATGTACAAACACCTGTTGCAATATCTCTAAGGTTAGCAAATTATGGTGGTTCGTGTCAGCTATTATATAACTTAAACAACTGACTAACTTATCTCACCAAATAGAAAAATAGAAAAACTCGAGCTGTTGGATAACGCCAGAGGAATCTTGTGGCTCTCACTGCCCCTGAATCTAGCAGTTTAACTGCTTTCTGCAACTGCATAAGACATGCGAAATACATGGTTAAAAATAGTGTTTAATTTGAGAATAAAAATCACATAAATATGATGGCTGTCATACCTGAACACTTGCACCAGCCAAGTGACGGTGATGCAAAGGAAGAGGCCTGCAATTAGTCACTTCATAAGATCACTTTTCAAACTTCACAACTGAAAATAAAAAAATGTCGCATTTTGTAGAGAAAAGACTAGCATACAGAAGCCCAACAAAGTAACTAAATGGTTTAACAAAGATCATAAGCAAATCACAATCAAACCATATGTAGTAACCAACAAAATAGAATATGAAGAATATATGAGATGATTTGACACATGGAAATAAGTTCTAGAAGAGAGTAATGCATTGACTTTATGGTTAAGAACATTGAGGCAGAGAACATGACCATTGAAGCTAAGTTTATTATGATTATTTTGATCAAATGCATTACAAACAAGAAAAGTGCTAACATAATAATTTGTGAAAACATACTCCAGGGCTTTTATATCACTCTCATCTTCCCAAGTTGATGATGCTCGACGAGGAACTCTACTTCTTTCGGTCTCTGCCTGTTCAACATGGAAATGGTGTCAAAACCTAGCCAAGACAAAATTAATAATAAAGTAGCCACAGAAGCCAAAACGCATACCTGTGCTTCCTTAAGACGCTTAATTTCCTTTTCCAACTGAAACTCTATAGCAGCTTTTTCACTGACCATGGTTTCTAATTGTGTTTGTTTGTAGTACTGCAATGAAAATAATAAATAAGTATTGAAAATTGACATCAGAAAACTTGCCTGAAATTTAACCATCTCAAATTACCAAAAGATCAGTCAGTTCCCGATAACGTTTCTCTAACTCCGTATGCTCCTGTTACATGATTATGATGCTTAGGTCAAGTAGTGTTTCAAAATTACCATAAACGAAAAACATAAGAAAGAGCTAAGTTAACTTTAGCTGTATTTATATTAAAACCCATAAACAAATAGCATGATATGCCGGTAGCATTTGAAGTGGATTTCTTATCATCACTTCTCTAAAGCTTTGGTTGCACACAGTAATACAACAATGCTAGTAGAATTGTTTTTTCACAGCTCTCACTTTCTAGCACACTCTTTTATTGGTGAAAATCCTATGCTGGCACTACTTATAGTGTGCCCGGATTAAGTGATAATATTTTATTGATATCAAATACTAGGCTCACCCTTTCTATATAAATGGATCATGATATCCATGTCAAACTTGAAGATGCAATTTACTTTTTCTTGGTTAAACTATAACCAAAGCATTGAATAATCCACAGTAAATATATTTCTGTAATCTATGCTCCAATTTGCAATTTATGCTCCTGAATTTGCTGATGCTTAGATGAATATGATAGCATATGAGCAATCTAAAATACCATTAAAAAGAAAAGATGCACCCTTGAATCGAGAATTTAGTCTATTCAAAATCATAGGTATCCCTCCATTCCAAGTTCAAGTAACCAATGTTCAGTTTCATTTTTCATGCATGGTAGAAATTACTAAAAGGACTTGATTGGAACAATAATTTCAGCTTATCAATGAACCATCTGGTGATTAATAAGTAACGTTTGATTGATTGTTCCTTAACTAGTCATGGTTTTACCAAATCTCCCTGGCTGTTAATTTCACCATAAAATTAGTGACAAGACCACTTATTTGACTAAAACAATAGAAAATGACACATCCCGTAAGAATGTGCGTTGAAACTTAATTTCTCTGGTCCCTAGTAATCAAGCTTGTAGAACTCTAGGGTCTGTAAATTTGGGATCTTCACAGACTTAACTCATAACCTTGTAGGAGTTTACTTAGTACAAAATAATGTTAAAAACATCTATGGTAGTATCTAAACATAACTCTACTATTTGCATAGTAAATATGAACATTCTTAGTAACAAAACAAACTGTACAGCAATAAAACCAATGCCCCCTCCTATCCCATCTCATCCCAGACCCAAAGTAGCATTACAATTCAAAATTAATGGCAGAAAGTCATTTAAAGCTGCCATAAAACGCCATGGCGTCGCCATCCTTCACAAATTAGCCATGATGGTTGCAAAAAAACTGCCACAATGCTCCAATCTACCATGATGTGATGCATCATTATAGCATCCTCTCCTCCAGTCCCACTTAGCAACATGTACTTTTCTGTTATTTCCCTCTCTCCTCACACCCTGTGCACCCTACCCTTCCCTCCCATTATTTCCCTTGCTGTGCCAAGCATTGCTCCTTTCAAAGGACTAGCCCCATGATCTTTGGGCCCACTTTCAAATCTTTCTGCTCTCTTGTTTATTAAATATAAACATCCATAATGGGTCAATCCCGCCGTACTCTAGCCCAAAATTGATTCTTTGCAAGTCTAATCGAGTTTACACAAAAATGGTTTGGTAAGCAAATGAACTTGATTTATTTAAGTGTATTGCCACAAAATATGTTATATTTAATCCATAAATATTATTAAAAACCTATGGGTTAACGCAAGTTTGGCGATGATACTAGTAATACGACAGTATGGTCATTAATTATAAAGCACCACCCAGATGAAAAACAATGAGATTTGTCACATTATATCCAAGTTGTAATTTTAAATTTTAAATATTTAGAAAGAGGGGAAACTTAAACAGAAACATCATTATTACCTGACGTGAATAATGCTCAGCATCCCTCTTCATTGCAGCCATTTCAACTCTCAATTTTTGTAGTTCAGCCTGAAATGGTGAAACCAAACATGTAATGATTAATATGAATCAAACCTTGATTTGTAAGACAGGAGAATCATTATCTCCAATAACTTCATAAGGAATGAACAAATAAAAACTTCACAAGGAAATACTTAAAAAAATACCTCCAAAGAAGATAATTTGTTTTCAGCTTCCCTCTGACCCTGACGAGCACGCTCCACTTCTTCCTGCCATGCCTGTATCTAAATATACCAAACTCGCACGGATATAATTCCATATTGATGAATATTTATCACTAATATTTTTATGATTGATACTTCAAAAGTTTAAATACTAATTGTTAATAATCCCACATCGGACAATATATAGTTTGAACATGTATTTATAGGTGTGGGGACAATACTCATCTTACAAGCCAGTTTTGTAGGGATGAGTTAGGTCGTACAACACACACATTCTAAGATGGTATCAGAGTTCGGCTCAAGATCCGTTGGGTCACCTACTATCAAGCCACCCACCATTTATGCTTACACTCCGGATGTGTTAAGAGTCCCACATCGGACAATATATTGCATAAACATGTGTTTCTAAATGGGGACGATTCTCATTTTACAAGCTAATTTTGTAGGGATGAATTAGGCTCAACCCACACATTCTAAGATTAATGATACATGTCAATGGGCCAGCAATCTTTGGTCAGTTGGAGCTAAAAACAGCTGTGGCAAATTGTAACTCTTGACTAGTGTTCATTCAACTCAACAGTGCCCAGAATTAACTAAGTCACTAGAATGTTACCCACATGTTTTGACAGAAATCCGCCATTTTTCCGGCTTGAATTTGTTTGCCTCGGATATTAAAATTCATCAGTGCTTTGCTAAATAAACAATTCAACCATGAAATACATCTGATTCGGTCACCTATTCAGAGTCATAACAATTGGGCGTGTAATTTGCATTGGTAACCATGTTTTCTATGTCATATCGCAATTTAAATTGCACAATACATGTGATAACAATTACCATGGTTTGTAAGTGTTGAAAATGTGTACTTAGTAAACAGAAAGCATACTCACTAAAAGAACTCAAGCTTCTACACAATATATCATAAACAACAGCAAAATAAGGGAAATATTTGCTTCTAAACAATGACACTTTTTGGAAAAAAAAGAAGTATGTCCTCAATTTACACGAACACAACATACCTGAATTACTTGATTTGCCTCTTCTGGTGATTTTTTTTGTTCCCGGCGCAAACGGGCTTCCAAATCTTGTAGTTCTTGATTTAAAGATGAGCATTCAACCTGATGACAGAGGTTGCAATTAAACTTTTCAGTAGATCCAAATTTCAAATAGTAATATTTAATACTTAACCTTCATATTAAAAAAGAAATTATTTAACTTCTTTACAATGTACCTCGAGGAGTGCCACCTTCTGCTCAAGTTCTGTGGCCTTTGTTGTCCTTTCATCTGCTATTCTCTGAAAAAAGAAGAAACTAACAAATCAATGTATATGTTTAACATTGATGCCAATATCAATGCTGTAATCAACATAGCTTCAAAGGGGGAACCAAAGCAGTCATACATGATTGATGCTGGTGAATTTGTTACTATTCGTTAATATTTTGTAAACAGATCAACCACAACATCCAGGCCTTAGTAGTTTGATAAACAAATGACCTGTTAATATTTAAAACAGCTAGACACAAATAGCATCACTGATGCCTATATGATGCTATTTGACGAACTCTAGATAAAGCTTGAGTGAATGTTGTCAGACTTGTGTAGCAGCATTGAACAAGCTGAGATGATCCTACCCCCCTATTTTCAAATTTAATAAAGCACAGGCTTTGGAAGTTTTTACTGATGAAAATAATTTATAATCAGTACTGCCCCTTTTTCCTTCTAAAACACTTTATTGTCTAAATAGGGATGCTGAATAGTGATATGACCAGTCACTTGCAGCATGAAAACCATGTAAGGCCTGGATACTCGTACTCGTATCCTAAATACATTGAGTGATATTTTCAAATGTTTTCACATGGATAAATTTCCAATTATGCTTAAAATTTTATTATGAGTTTTCTCAGCAAGTGTATATACTATTATGTTATCGATAATGCTTTTAATATGATTTGCAATTGCAGTCCTTTTAAAAGTTGAGGCGTGTTAGCAGCACACTCTTTAACACATTTTCCAATTCACTCTATTCTATCAAATAAGATTCATGAGTCCCCAGTCCCCGCCAAATCATGTGGACCCCATAGAAATTTGGCGGGACCATATGAATATGAATCTATAAAAGTTTAACATTAGTAAGTGCTGACGTCACCTGTATCCTCGCAAGAGCTGTAGATGACTCAACTGCTCTATGCTCCAATTCCACTTCTCTTTCCATGGAAGCCTGCACGAATCACATAATCATTAAAAATAAATATAAAATGCATAAACACAAGAACTAAACAATACAAGTTACAGACCAATTTGGTAGCATTATGTGCAGTACGCTCCTCTTCTGCTCTTCGCTCAACAGATGCTAGCTCCTCTCTTAGAGCCTGCAAGAGCAATAGTTTATGATGCCAACAACTTCACATATGAATAGGACATCACAAATTATGGAATCTTACATGCATCGGAGAACTTGATTACCTGCATCATCCGTGTCTCTGATAGTTCCCGATTTCTCATCATAGACTCCATGTTTGCCTAATAAGATATGAATAGTGTTATCCATGCCTTAAAAATATAAATAAAACAGAACATGAATATAATGAAGCTATGGGCTATGGTAATGGTACAACGAAAAAATCCTACATGTATAGAAAGAAATCGATGAAGAAAGCTGAAATTGGTAGATTCCCACACGACTGAGCCCAACAAGTTTGTAATAGCCAAATATTTTCCCAATCCATAATAAAAGTTCCCTAATATCATCGAGATGAGTAAACTTTAACAGACACCATATGCAGACAGACACATCTGCAAATGGATCAATTGAGCTCATAGCTATAACATGTGCTCGAAGCTGGTCATATTATGTTCTGAAGAAACTAGTGGCAGTTATCTTAAGGATACAGGAAATAAATTGAATAGGTTACTGATGTTGGTTGTTCAATCATTTGTCTCCAAAGTTGGTTCCTTGGCGCTTATAAATGGGGAAATTGCCTTCATATCAATAGGAAATTGAATTTTCACGTCACCCACATTTATCGAAAAAAAGGCAACACTTGTGCTGAAAACTTGGCATGTCATGGTTTAACCATTTCCGAATCTTGTTGGTGGGATTCTGTCTATTTATATTTCCTCTGGTTTCTACAGTAACATGATGGGGATGCCTAATTATAAGGTGTGGACTACCCCCAATCATAAACTTAAGCCGAGCCTCATCTCATCCAATGTGAGACTCTAAACAATGTCAATTAGCCAAGATTATGCATTAAAATGTAGGATAACAACACTCATGCAGCTCATTCTGTTTAATAAATATGGTACAGAATATAGTTCAGGTGGAAACAGTAGTTATGCGGAGGAAACAAAATATTGCAAGACACAATTCAATAAATTAACTAAGAACCTGCAGGGAAGCTAGATTTCCTTCTGACAATGCAGCCTGCCTTTTAACTGCTTCAACAGAGCTTAGAACTGCCTCGATTTCAGCATTTTTGGCTGCCAAGGCCTCACCCATATTTGACTCAACTCTTGTAACTTCCTTTTTACTTTCAGACAAATCCTTTTGTAGCTGCTTTATGCTAGCCTCGTATGATTTACTCAGCTCTCTCTGTAAATTTAGAATTAATTACATGGAGTGTTTTAATTTCAAGCACAAAATGAGACCTTATAGTCGCTTAAACAGGAAACAGCAATAGCATTTCACCTCTGCAGTAAGAAGTTCCTCTAACTGTGCATTTTCGGATTTGTATTCTTGAAGGCGAGATGATAGTCCAGCACAAACCTGAGTATTATTAAAAAATATCAAACATGTATCTATAGGAAGCAATTAGGAAGAAACTCTTTTTGACATTCCAGGACTAATCAACAAGATCTTCCTGGGTGATCAGCTGCTCCCATTTGAGGAGGCCTTGGCTAACAAAAATAACATGTTAAACAACATTCTTCTTACCCGAGCTAACCTTGCCTCTTTAGACTGACCAGTAGATTTTGTTGTTTTGAGCAATCCTTGGGCCTATGTACCAACTAAAAAATTAGTCAGAAGAATTTTTTTTGAAAAACGCTACATTAAGTAATAATAAATAAATTTCTCCATAATAAGTATTACCTCTTCAAGATGATCCTGTACTTTTTCAGGGGATATGTCAGTTTTATGAACCTCTTGGCTCTTTTGATTCACCGTAGTAGGTTCAGCTTTTATATCAGAATCTTTAAGGATAGTATCACTATTAGGAGCTACATCATCAGCCACAGATTCAGTTTTTTCTTGATCCCTATATTGGTTGGAATCTAAATCTCCAGCCTTGATAATTTGGTCAGTACTCGTAGATTCGTGATCGGGGCCTTTAATTCCTTTAGGAGAAGAAGAAGGATCCGCTTCATGAATATCTGAAGCATTCTCTTTGCCAAGCTCATTATTTGCAGAAGTAGTAGTAACATCAACAGCAGTATCATTTACTAAGACTTCCACATCACCTGTGTCATGTTTATCAGTATCACTAGCTAGCCCTTTTGACAACGAAGTTCCTAATATAGGTGATATTGCATCAGTAGGTTGCTGCTGCATTGGTTGATTTGTAGAAATGGAATCGCTCTCATCATGTTCGGCTACAGGATCAATTTTTTCGCTTGGAGTTGTTACATCCAATGTTGCTGCTGGAGATCCAATTGTCTCCTTAGTAGTATCACTAACTATAGTTGATGGGTCGGACAGTCTCTTTTGAGCCTGCCAAAATTCAAGAAGACAAGTTGGATGCCAATATGACACATTGTCTGAGGATAGAAATTCTGCGGCAGTACCTTAGCTTCTGATTTCTTCCTTTTGCCTTGAGATCCTTGCCCATTTGAAGCTAATTCTAAAAAAGTAGCAATAGAACAAATGTAAGCCCTCACAATATTGAGTATACATAACTTATATCTGAAAGACAACTCCTTATCTAATCTGCCTGCCTTCCTTACTAGAACATCTACAGGTTTTGGTCACAAATGCCAAAGTGAGGCTTTACAATTTTTTCAAAGTCACTTTTTCCCGTTTCTTGAACTACTCTGGGTTAAGGACTTTCAATATTAGAATCAAAATCTAGAACACAAGAAACATACAAAATTTACATATCGCCTTTTTTTCTAAAGATACAAATCACCTGTTGTTTCCCACTACAAAAGTTTAACTTTTCAATTATATTGGCCGCACAACTTTACAGCAATGAACCCAAATCTAATTCCAGATTAAGTATACAAAAGGGCTAAAGAAAAAGTCAAAAAAACTAAAATCTAAACCTGGAGACTTGGAATCAGATTGTTCTTCTACTATGTCACTGGCAACCAGCTTTGCTCTTCGATCAACAACTTCAAATAAATCTGATCAACCAAGGTCACACAAAAATACATGTCAGATTTTATTTTGATCTCAAATACAGTCATTTGTTGAGCAACAAAGGAAAGAGAAAGAAACATGTAGTCCATCCCTCCACACCTTGCAATGAAACAACACCAAGTAACATAACTTCCGTGCCCTTCCCATCCCTTTCCCGAAGACAACAAAATAAAAGAGAAAAACAATAGGCAAAACTAAGGGCCTGTTTACTTTATACATTTCTTGTTTTCATTTTCATTTAAACTAATAAACATAAGAGAATATAAACCCAATAGTTTCCTCGCCATTTTCTTTTCCAACTTCCAAAAATAGATCTACCATTTTCAGACTTTTTGAAAATGCTGAAACATTGTTTTCATGGTTTCTGAAAAATGCAACCTTTCGAACTTGTCTTTCATTTCTCTCTATCACAATTGTTAACTACATAAGCCTTCAATCTCCTTGTAAGCAATATAAAATTGACATAAATTTTAGAAAAATGAAACCGAAAATATTTTCAGAAAGTAAACGTGGCCTAACATTAATTAAAGATCCTTAGAGACTAGACTCGAAACTGATGAAGCGTGAATGAAAGAGAGATACAGATTGCCTACAGTCACAATAACATGCATTTGCCACAGTCAATAAGTTAGAAGCATCAGATGAAGTTCAAGCTAATCATACTTTAAGCTGATCAAAATCAGATTTACAAAGCAATTCCTAATACAAGTCGTTTGTTCCTTCACCCAACGTGGTTCTGCTTAATTGACCATAGTGATGAAACGCAACATGCACAATTAAAATTAATACACACTCCTTGAACTAAATATTGATGAAGCATGAATGAAAGAGAGAGAGAGAGAGAGAGAGAGAGAGAGAGACTGATCCAGATTGCCACACATTTGCCACAGTCAATAAGTCGGAAGCATTGGTTGAAGATCAGATTTTCAACAAAATTATATTTAAGAAGCAATTCGAGTACAAGTCGTTTGATCCTTCATACAATGCAATTCTGAATAATTGACCTTAGTAATCATACTTTAAGCTCAGCAAAATCAGATTCAAAAAGAAACTCGGTCATTTGATCCTTCATCCAGTGATCCAACATGATTCTAATCAACTAACCATAGCTAGTACTACATGAAATTTTGACTACAAACAGTCCATTTTTTCTGCAACTAAAATTCACCTAAACAGTTTCAATGATTCATTTCATTCCTTAATTCCCAATACAACAGAATCACAAACCATTGCCAAAATTAATCATCGTTTACACTACCTTAAGCATTAATCAACAATTTAATGAAGAATCCAGTATTGAGATCAAGATTAATTAACCACAACTACTACTAAAGCGAAACACTTTAATCTAATTAACCAAATCGAGATTGAATTAGGTGGAATAACCGAAACAAAGAAACGAGATCCGTTACCTTCAGCGGCTTTGAGCCACGATGCCATTGTAAGAAAAACGAATCAGATTCGTTTTTTATGGAGAAAAGGTTCAGAGATTCAATAGTAGTTGAGCTTCAATCATAATACGACGTCGCTTTGATTTCACAGCACTGCCACTGTTATTTTCTGTTGTCAATTACGTTCAATCGCGAGAAAAAAGCGATTCTTAAAAACAAAACTGAACTTCAAATAAGTGATTCTTCTTTGCAATTGATTGTGTAGAGATTGCCACTCTCGTTCATTCAGGCTCCAACAACCGAATTACCTTTTCGGAAATGTATGCCTCTTTACGCAAACGCTATTTGATTTTTTTTTCTATTTTTTTATGAATTTAATTGATATGCAATTCATCAATATGACCTATCATATTATTAATTTAAAATTTAAAATATAATGTAGTGAAATATATAATGGTAATTGGTTGAGACACTGTCAATTAAATTCTTTTTTTATTATATTGTTGCTAAATAAATACATATTTTAGTTGTTGTGAAACCAAAGATAATGGGTTTGAATCTCTACGATTGTTATCAGGTGTCATTGTTGAATTTATTTATCTAACATCACTTTTATAATATGGTGGATTTAAAATCTCAATTCATGGCAACTACGATGTGTTAGGCATAGTCCTTTGAGAAAGGGTTTTTTGCTATAAAGTAATATAGGTGCACCTTCATTATTAATAATTGTTTTTAATGTAGTGGTAGGAATTTGATCCAACAAGTGACAGAAGAGTTTAACTCTTGTTAAATACTAACTGTTCCAGGAGAAAAAATGCAAGTTATTCGCTAAACAAATTATCATCCTGAAGAAGAGTATAAATTATAGAAAGAGAAAATAAAAAAAATTTATGAAAAAATTGTGATATTTAAAAGATTGTGAAAGAATATTCATTTGTTCCTAAACACGATCTCAATCAATGGTGTTGTAGTAAACAAACATGAAAAGAGTTGAAGCAAAGATGATAAAGAAAAATGTGCAACGCAGTTTGAAAATTAAAATTGTCATCACCGCCGCTCTCGGTCATGATGAATTTTTATGAGTTTTTCACTGTGAGACTGTAAAATAAATTTAGAACGTCTTTTAAATTACTCATGAAGGAACTACTGAGGTAAAAAGGATAAACTTGTGCATATTAACCCGTAAGTATGAACTTTTCATAATGAAACATGATGAAAGCATAAATCAAATGCAAATACGATTCAATCGTGAGTCATATGAGAACTCTAGAAAAAACACTCTCAAATGAGCAATAAGTCATAAAACTCTTAGATGCTTAAATTATGACTGGCAACCTAAAGTCACTATGATTTGTGAATCTATAAATTAAATGACTATGGACACACACACTCTTTGCCAAATTGCAAAAACACGAAATGAAACTCAAAAGGCTTGCTATAGATGAATAAGGATAAAAGAAAAACAAAAGTTTAGCTTTTTAAAATCGAGGAGTTTGATTTTGATGGTGAGATATCTCTCATAGTAAAGAACTTTAAAAGATTTCTAAAGAATGAGAATAAGCAAAAAGAAGAGCAAGAAAAAGATGAAGAAAAAATACCACTCATTTCAACATGTTACAAATGTAGAAATAAATGGCATATCAGACCATATTGTCCCCTAATTAAGAAAGCAAATCAAAAATTTAGGAATCCTCGAAAAATGAAGAAAGTTTATGTTGCATGGGAAGACAATGATATAGAAATCTCAGACAATGAACAAGAAGAAAAGGTTAACATCTGTCTCATGAAAAATCATCAAGATAATGAGGTAACCTCTCACTTCTCTTGTCCTGACCTCTTTAGAATGTGTAAGAAACTAACAAAATAAATAAATAAACTGGAACAAATTGTTTCTACATCTAAGGATATTATTTTCTCTCTTGAACTTAAAAATAAAAATCTTGAAAGAGAGATAGAAGTCTTTAGTGGGAGATAAAATGATCTAGTTCAAAGTTCTTTCACTTAAAACGAATATGATGAACCTCACAAGTGCAAATAATGTGACAATTAAAGAAAAAGAAATTTGCGATCTTCATAAAACACTTGTCATGTTCACCAAAGGAATAGATAATTTAAATCTTTTGTTAGAAAATCAAAGAGTCTCTTACAACAGAGTTGACCTTGGCTATGAACTGAATAATAACAATAAAAATTTTGATAACATTTATATTGCCAAAATCATTTCTCATTGTAAAAACTTAAAATGCAATTAATATAGTACAGAAGGAAACATTGATATGTTTTGTTTCATCAAGAAGAGTTGTAAAAATAAAGAAGGACATCCTCCTTCATATTCTTAAAAAAACATTATGAACGCAAAGTAAAAATCTTGTCTAACCCTGTAAATGCCCATATCTCTAAAACAAATAATAAATTTAGGAAACTAACAACCAAGGAACTAAGATGATATGGGTACCTAAAGTTAAGAACTAACATTTTCTTTAGATAAAAGTTTTACAGTCTCAAACATCAAATGACATCTTGGTAGTGGTTGTTCAAAGCATATGACAGGTGACAAAACCTTATTTTACATATTTTTTTCTTAAAGAATGACGATTAGTATCTTATGGAGATAATAATAAGGTAAATATTCTAGGGGTTGGCACCATTGGTAAGTCCCCCAGTTTAACGATTGGGGAAGTTCTCTTGGTAAAAGATCTTAAGTATTATTTACTTATCATAAGTCAATCATGTGACAAAGGTAACAGTGTAACCTTTAAATCTTCTGGTTGTAGGGTCATAAAGTATAAATCAAACAAAACTCTATTTACAAACCTAAGAAGTATAAATACTTACACAATGAATTTAAATAAGATTATTTCAAATGATGTATGTCTCCTGAGTAATGAGGATGAATCATGACTATGGCATAGGATAATAGCTCACATTTACATGGATCACTTGAACAAGTTAGTCCACAAAATTCTCATAGACAAACTGCAAGACTTACATTTTTAAAAGAAAGAATTATGTGATACGTGATAAAAAGGCAAGCAAGTAAGGGACTCATTTAAATCTAGAAATATCGTTTTTATTGATTAGCCATTACAATTGTTTCACATGGACCTTTTTAACTCATCCAGAACCGTAAGTCTAGGTGAAAACGTATACATTGTTACTCTTTCTATACATGGAAATTATCCTTATCTAAAAAAAGAGACATGTTTAGAGCCTTTCGGAAACTTCCCAAGGTTATCTGTAACAAAAAAGGGAGGAAGCATTTGATTCATTAGAAGTGATCATGGTGGAGAATTCTAAAAGGAGGAATTTGAAAAATCTGTAACGATAGTGGTATTCAGCACACCTTTTCACTCCGCAAACTCCCTAACAAAATGGGGTAGTAGAGAGGAAAAATAGATATCTGGCAGATCTTGCAAGGATGATGCTCAATGAGAGCAATATTCTAAATATTTATGGGTTGATGTAGTAAGCATTGCTTGCTATGTTATGAATTGTGTCTTGATAAGAGCGATTTTAAAGTGAACGCCTTATGAATTATACAAAGGAAGAAAGTTGAATATCTCTCAATTACATCTTTTTTTATGCAAATGATTTAGCCTTAACAACGAGAAAGATAACCTCGGAAAATTTAACGCAAAAGATGATGAAGGAATATTTATAGGATATTCCACTTATAGAAAAGCTTTTAGAGTTTTAACAAACAACTCTAACAACCATGAATCCATTCATGTTACCTTTGTTGAATCTAACCATAAACCAATAGAAGTAGAAATTATCAATTGTGCATGTATCTTAGAAAAGACAAGTTTAAAGAAAACTTATCAAGAACTAGACCAATACTATAATGAAAGTCAAAATGAAGAACCATGTTATTATCTAATAACAGATACTCAACGAGAACATCCATATATTTTAAAGGAATTGAGGTCAATAAGATACCATCATATCCAAAATGTTATTGGAAATATCTCTAAGGGAGTCACTAGTAGACGGTCCCTTAATAAGAATGAGTTTGAAATGTTAATGATGGGAGAGCTCAAATATTTTACAGGACATCAAATCCAGGAAGAAACTTTCATAAATCAAGCAAAATGTTGTATAAAGTTATTAAAAATATTTGATATGGAAAAGTCCAAGGTAATAGAAACCTCAATGTCGACCTCGTGCAACCTTGACAAGGACAAAAATGGGAAATCAGATGAAGAAAGCAAATATTGAGGTATGATAGGCTCTCATTTATATCTAACAACATTTTATCTTGATATAAAGTTTGATGTTTGTATGTGTGCATATTTTTCAAGCATCCCCAAAGGAATCACATATCAATGTGGTCAAACGCATCATGAGATATCTCTCTAGCACACAATTAATGGGTTGATGGTGCCCCAATAGAGTGGAATGTGACTTAGTTGGGTACACTAATTCCTATATTTCTGGGTGCATATTGGATAGGAAAAGTACCAGCGGTACGTGTCACTTACTTGTGAACTCACTTGTCTTATGGCATAGCAAGAAATAAGCCAGCATCACATTATCCACAGCTGAGGCAAAATGCGGTGTTGCAGGTAGCTATTGTGCTCAGATTATTTGGATGAAACAACAATTCAATGTTTACGGTGTTAATCTTGGAGGTGTCCCAATAAGATGTGACAATAGTAGCGCCATAAACCTTGCAAAAACCATATTTTTCACTCTCGGGTCAAATACATTGAAGTTAGGCACCACTTTATTAAGGATCATCTTGAAAAGGGGAGAATGTGTACTTGAGTTTGTAATCAACTTGTAGATATTTTTACTAAATCTCTTCCTAAAAAAAATTTATTTTTCATACGAACTGAATTATGAATATTAATATAATCATGCATTGATTAATATGCCTATATATTTTCTTCTCAATGTGCTGCCATGTCATCTATGTGCTTTGCTTTATCCTTTTTTATTATGCTAAAGGGAGATAAGTATACTCCTAGGGAGAGTAGAGTATACTTTCTGCCTAATTGAACGGGAGTTTAGGGAGAATGTGGATCTATGTGTTTGTAGATATAG